TATATATATATATATATATATATATATTCTCCTGCGTATTTATGTTCAATTTCGTTTGGAGCACAGCAGGAAAAATTAGAAATTTTATTTGTCAACACATAATATAGACATACATGTACAACACAGTGAACTGTGAATTGTAGGCAGGTTTTCTGCTCTAATGTTCACCGGCTGAAGAATATGCAACCATTAGCTAAGTGCAAAGCTTCACTATATCATGCTGCTTCGATCGATATTTCGAAAACTTCTTTGTGTTAAGCGAAAGCAGCAGGACATAAATATTTCGCGCGTGCGAGTTAAAACAGCAAACATGTTGAGTGCTCGTGAGTGTACTGCCAAAGTTTGGAGTGTAAAAGGTCAATCATTTACTGCAGTTTCACTTAAAACACTGTGCTAATGTTTCCCTAGCGTGTTATCATATTGATCCTCATGGGTCTAGGGTTTCAGTTGGGGTTAGGGATATGGATAGAGTTATAACTACTGTTATATTTAGTACAAATGTTAGGTATTCATAAGCTCCTGCTCTCTATAAACACATGATTGCCCTCATGGGCTGCCATACTCTACAGTCTACAGAGTGAAATCCTTCGTGGATTCTTTTATTTCTACATATTATTATCGTGTCCATACGCTACGAAAATGCCTAAGAACGAGTATCGTGTTGCCAGTTGTGTTCATTCGCTTAAAAACCAATGCACCGTGAAGTCGTGCTGGGGTATTTGTCACTATAGAAGATCACACATCGCAGTGCAATGTTTGCCGTCAAGCTGCAAGACGTGTTACTCGGAAAGGATATCGCCGTTAAAGGTGCAAATACAACGTGCTTCCATAGTTTATACTTGCGACCTGCTCATTCGGAGAGAATGTCACGACGTTACGACAAGATTTCGAAAGATTGCGCACCAGATGCGAAAATAGGCACTTCTGCTCCGAGTGAATGTTGTTTAAATTTTGAGATGTTTTTAATAATGAGTTTTTAAATTAGTAATTAGGTTTAAAACAATGTTGTCAGTATTATTCCAAACGGGTGCTAGGTTGGGATCAGGGTTATTTTTTTACGTTGATATTACTCGAAGTACTCTGAAAATATATTCTTTGCCATTTGCTTTACTCAGATTGGCGCGTGGAAAGTTGCCAATCAGAGTAGGATGTCGATTACATACTAGCGTATTCTAGGCAGCAGACAGCTAATGCACATAAAAAACAATATGTCCGTTCCTTTTTGTGTTACCCGCATTAACAAAATTGTTTAAATAATACTCGTGTAAACTCGAGCAGGATATTGCTACACTAATACCATGAGCGAATAAAAACAAAACATTTGTTAGTTCATCCGTAGTCAGATGCAGCTTGTAGAATCGCATGATCGTGCGTGCGTCCGTCTGTCCGCCCGTCAACAGTTGGGCACAAATCTTAACCGCTCGACGTACGGTCACGATATTCGGGACGTTGGGGGGGGGGGGTCGTCAAAACGAGTTGGGATGTCGAAGATGGGGGTCAAAGGTCAAAGGTCAAGAGGTGTAAAAGAAGGGAACA